ATGATATTAGTGTTCAGCGACCCCAAAAAGCCATGAGTAATAAGTTTGCACTGATTTTGTATTACATATAAAAAAAAACTCCAGGAGCAGACGCCGTCCTGGGCACCAGGTTCCGAGCACATAATGGCCGACATGATATTAGTGTTTACCGACCCCAAAAACCACCTAGTAACGAGTTTTCACTGATTTTGTGGTCTTCCCTGGACACCAGTGGCATCGGAGACCATCACCATTATGATATTCTTGATCAGCGATCCCAAAAACTCCCGAATAACGAATTTGTACTGATTTTATGTCGAATTATCACAATATTCTAGGAGACGGGGCCCAGGTGCATCACGGAAACCATCTCTGTCATGATATTCGTGTTCGGTGATCCAAAAATTCCTGAGTAGTAATATTGAACTCATTTCCGTCAATTATTTCCCAATTTTCCTTGTTTAATAATGCAATTTTCATTTCCACATCATCATTTTTGTTCACAAAATTTCCTGACACTCATACGTTTCGAATGCAAACTAGGTTTTGGGCTTTTACTGCTTATTTGTCTCGCCTATCAGTGAAGGGCTTGGAATGTCCCTTCATTGCGATCAAAACCATATTCGTGATAGCCAATACTTTACCTGGATTCCAATACTTTAGAAGATTATTCATTTGCATAGAAGGTTTTTTTTGTAAATTCAAAAAGAGGTTTCAGTCATATTTATACTCTCCAATACTTTAGAAGACTATTCATTTGCATAAAGGATTTTTTAAAATTTATTGAATAAGAGGTTTCAGTAAGACAATGACATTTAAGTCACAAATCTACAGTAAAATTGAATTTATTGCCCATTAAAAACATCGTTAATTATGTTGAAATAACTGTTAAAATGTTTATTATTATAAACCAACTATTTTTATTAATTAGAAACTAAGCACAATTTGTACACCAATATATAAAATAGTTAATGATCTAAAATTTTAAACATTTCAAAAATCAATAATAAAAAGTTGCGTTGATGAATTACTTTTAATCAGGAATGTAAGATTTGTTTAAATATTTTTTTCTAGACATAAAGAATCACGTATTTTATGGGCATTGACATGTTTTAATATTGGTTGAGACTTCTAAAAGAAAAAGTGGTTTTGTTGTTTCAAGGTTGACTAGAAAATTATAAGTATCCAATCTGTGATTCATTGATTCGGTATAGTTAAGATTTTTCTGTAATTAGTTATTTTTAGGGTGTATATAATGGAATTTTTTGTATTCAGGGATGTTTGGAAATTCAATACTGTTTTAAAGTTAGGGCCATTAGTATGAAACAAAATCGTGTCGAAGTTTACGGCAAAATTCAATAAAAATTAAAAATTATATTAAATAGAAACCAACGGGGCCTTCTGACAAAAAATTATCATATTTAACACATGAATACATCTTTTTCTTCATTTAGCGCTACAACTCTCTCTGTGTTTTGGTCTGTTCAATAATGTTATATCAATCCTTTATATCTTGGCCCGCAGTTCTTCACAGTTCCGTACTTTTGGATTTTAAAGTGTCAGGGAGTAAGGGTAACATAGCAAAATACATTTACAATATCGGGGCGGTTAATTAACACATCGCGTTATTTTAGATATATTCTCTGTCGTTTTACTCTCAAACAGGTTCGTAAATGTTTCCCAGCATGTACCTACATGCATGTAGAAGCATGTACATGCCGGGAAAGATAAGTAGTATAAACCAAGAAATGTACAGGCTGGAAATAAATATCTTGAGTATAATCAGTGACGAATCTACACCAAGTGACGAATGTCGAAGTGGTAGACAGATTTGTATACTTGGGCTCCATGATAATCACGAACCGCAACTGCTAAATTAATTAAAATATAGAAATACCGAACAATAACAAGGATTAGTAAGCTCAAATTGGTCAATTCTCCATATTTTTCCCATTCCTACATACGCAGCTGAAAAATGGACTCTCAAAAAAAATAGAAGCAGCAGCTTCGTACCACTACAGCTACCAGCACAGAAGAATATGAGAATTATTTAAGTGTATGCTTGAACAGCTGATAAAACAGAATCACATATTAAATCTTTCTATAGGAAAATAAAACAATTGCTATTTCAGACCAAGAAGTATGAAACCACTTTTATCCTATGGGACTTCCAGTACAATAGTAGACAAGGGAAGTGCAAAAAGATATTATAAGCTTCGATTAATCAGTTTAATAAGCAGGCCTCAATCTTATAAATTAAATTTGGTTGATAATTTATTTAAACAATTGCGAAAAACTGCAAAAACTTTTAGGAGCAATAAACATAAAAAAGGTATAAATAATAACAAAAGTTACATAAAAATATTTCTTTTAACACCCTTGAGGTACACATACATTTTAGTTGAAAAATATTTTTTTTATTTGAAAGTTATTCAATTGTTTATTAGAACGTTGTTTATTTGATAATGAAAAACGCGGTTGTTTTTTTCGTCACCTTAGATCAGCTTATAAAGTCTCATTTTGTTCGTTTTTATCTATATTTTCAAGATATGTAAGTTGAAATACCATTTTCAAAATTATAACCACCTAAAGTTAAGTTTAAATAATGGCCTAATTTGTTTAGAAATATTGCGTTAATAACTTTACCAGAAATAAATACGAAATAATGCCATTTGGATATTCGTTTAACTGGCAATTTTTCAATTTAAATCTTCAGGTTTGGCTTGAAATGGTATCTTAAGCTTTTCCTGCTATAAAATGTAACTGTTGAAGATAATATAAATCTGAACTTAAATTTTTATAGTTGGGCACTGTAGATTTGCTACAATATCCACTGCTTTACAGTGTCCGACACAGCAATTACGAGACTCATTAGATGGGCTATAAATAAATTTCAACTGTATAAGTCTACATCCACTCTGGGTAAAGAAATCATCAAATCAAGAACAAGTGAAGGCTGTACCCAAAGAGGAGTTCTGTCACCTCTACTTTGGACAACCTTGGTAGATGATCTTCTCAATAATCTGTTCACAAAATACCTTTACTGGTCCATTTATTCGCCCATGTTGTATCTTGTATCTGGTCGTAATACACAAATGCTTGCATGTCTACAGGGCTAAAAAACAACTCTTGCGGCGGCGTTGGAAGTCCTGCTGAATATTCCAACACTTCATATCTTCATATAGGGACAAGCCAGATCTGTGATGCATAGATTAATACATAGTCAGCAATACATAAACCAGTCGCATAGGGCTGACACTATAGAAAACTAATCGATGAGCTAAAAACAGATATTATAATAAGGCAACCCATCGATGCAACAGCTAAGAGATATAACTTTGACAATAAATTCAAAATGATTATACCAGACAGGGAAGACTGGAAGGAAGGTGTACCCATACAAGCGGAAGCTTTTTGGTACACTGATGCTCAATTGTCACAATTTTCCAGGAAGAAATAACGCCAATCCATCACTGCGTGGAAGAAATAGAAAGGCAGAAAAGAACGTACCGTTCAATTGCCATCTTCACAGTTAGCAGGCAGCGCTAAAGGCACTTAATTCTGTAGAGATGAATTATAAGCTAGTATAAGATTTTGTAGGTGCCCTAAATCAACTAGGAGGCCATAGCAACATTACCGTAGCCTGGGTACCAGGTCAAGAGGGTCATAAGGGCAATAAGAAAGCACATGTAATGGTCAAACAAGGCTCTTCTGCGGCATTGCAAAAGCAGTAACAAGAACCGATATAAGAAAGTGGATAGCACGCAAATTTCTGGAATAGTGGAGGAATCCACCAGGACAGTCAGGCGAAACAGTTTATAATAGAACATTCGCCAAAATTTACTACAGACCTGATAAGCAGAGACAGGAAAACAGTCAAAGCCATAGTAGGTCTATTAACTGGGCACTGCAAGCTGAATAGGCAGTTGGATCTGATGGGATTGGCACATGATGATCTATGTAGATTCTGTCACCTAGAGAAAGAAACAGCAGAGTACATTTTGTGCCGTTGTTTACATTAGGCGAAGAAAAGCCACCGACAATGCGCTACATTGAAGATTCGGTTTCGAAACTGTTAGACCTTTAAATGAAACGAATCATGCTTGGAATATCACCGAGAGACAAGATTAGAAACACCGAGTTAACACGTAGAACGAAGATTAGGGATATTGTGGAAGAAATTACAAAAATGAAATGGCACTGTGCAAGTCACGTAGCCCGATATAATAACAACAGGTGGACACGGAGAATTCTAGAATAGAGACCAAGGAGGACAACAAGAAGCATCGGAACACCTTTAAAAAGATGTGGTAGATGACATAAGAGCAGTGGCAGGCAAACAGTGGATTAGATTGGCGCAAGATACAGAAAGATGGAAGAAGATAGAGACAGATAGAAGCATTTGGGAGATACCTACATTCAGCAGTGGGTGGAAAATGGTTGACAAATAGAGACCTTTTAAAAAGTGCCAGGCTAGAGAATGTGATCTAGGATTCGAGCACCTCAATAGATCTGAAAATGTCGCAATAGAATCGGCTAAAAGCTACCTCATTGAATCTATCCATCTCAGTGTCCGACTGCAAAAGCGCCCCGTGTTTTATCTTTCATGCAAAATATCATGTTTTTATCCATCTACATTTTCTGTGTATTTTATACCTTATTATCTTCCAATCATACTTAAAAATATAATGTTGTTCATAATATCATTGTCAAATTGATATTCATAATATCATTTAAACAGTGTCTGAAAGGAAATGCTCCAGGTTAAAATTTTTTCAACCATCAAAAATTTGTCTGCCACGTAATGACTAGTTACATTACTTCAAGAACTTACAGGTCGATGTTTTTGCTCTGACGTGCTCTGACTCTTTAGGTTGATGGACTGTAGACCAATTATGTTTCAACATTTATTGTTTGTAATATAAAAGCAGCAGTTGTATTTGTTTCGTTTAATACTTTTCTGAACGTGATATCACATGATTTTATTTTGTATTTTAAAAGTTAATTTTTTTGTGTTTCAGTCAGACAACAAAAAAGAAGCCGAAAAACTCATCAAGAACATCATCAAGATCGTCATAAAACTTGGAGTATTACACCGCAACAACATGTTCACCGAAGAAGAACTAAAACTGGCCGAAAAATTCAAGACCAAGTTTCGATTGGCCGGCATGGCTATAATCTCATTCTACGAAGTCGATTTCAGCTACGACAGAAACTATATCGTCCAAGCTTTTACTGAAAGCCAAAAGTGCCTTGAAACCATCGTCTCTAAACATCTCACAGACAAATCTCTATCTCGAATAGACAGCGTTTTTTCCTTTTTCGGGAACGATCAGTTTCTGGATTCGGTGTTCAAGAGCAACTCCGATTACAGGGAGGCTCTCGGCAGGGTGGTTGCCGATTTAAATCAAGCCATAGACAATGGCGATCTTTAGTCTCTCTATTTTGTGATTTGATTATTGTGATTTATTTTTACGTTAAGCCCGTATTGTATATTATTTCTTTTCTCGTAAAAGGTGATCAATCATTGCGGAATATATGATATTTACACTAAATAAAATATGTTCTTTCATTAGTTGTACAGTACGACCAGGATAGCAATAGACGTGAACTGCGCGTTAACCGTTGTAGGGCTGCAGAATTCATTTGTGGGTGTAAAGCAAAATACCGAATTATGTCCTACGTCACAACATAACCAGCTTGGGTTTATTTTGCTTTACACCCACAAATGAATTCTGCAGCCCTACAACGGTTAACGTGCAGTTCACGTCTATTGCTATCCTGGTCGTACTGTATACTTATACTTTTGCTATGGCTAGCCTTTATCTGGGATCAAAGTAGTTACAAAAATAGATATACCTAATTAGCGTTTTAAATAATAAAAGAATAATAATTTTAATAACTAGTGGATCTGAAAGTTATAGCACTTTGATAGATTTAGCTGAAATTAGATGAAAATTCGTTTATAAATAAAACCAAAATTAGTATTAAATATTGTGATGTAGATAAATTATTTTTCGTAAGTATTAACCTCTTGGAACATCTGGGACATAAAATAATTGATAAATACGCACTTTACATTTTAGAAAATAAGTACAAATAATAACAAATTTGAAATAATACATATCAAAATAGAAAGAATTCTTAAGCTGACTATTATGAATTCGTACAAATCATCATCATAAACGCTGTTAATATCTGAGGATTATGACACTTGGTTATTGTATGTTTCAATTTTTCGTTATTATGGTCCTAGTCTTAAATTTCATGTTCTTATACGATTTTATAATTTTACACTCTCTTTTCGGTGCCTGTTTTTGCTCCTTTGATGTAGATGAGCCAGGTTTGCTGGCATCTTATTTACTTTTGACAATGCTCATTGCAATATTGGACCAAATAATTTTATGTCTACATTTTAATATATTTTCTCAGCCTAGTTATTATAATATATTCTTATTTCTTATATCGGGATAATTCCCAGTGGTTGACCGTATACCACAGTTAAATGGTAGATATAGTTGTGAAATTATTAAAATATTGAAAATATCCAAACTAATTACAATTTTCAAAATCTTTGAACCTAAAACCTAAAAGCAAATAATCTCACTGTAGTATAATGAACAAAAAGGATAAAATCTTGACTGTTAAAGTTTGTTTAGCAGTAAATGGTTGAATTCAATTAGTACCGACTATAAACATCCTAGGTTAACCGATAATAGTATAAAAGGTCCGGTTTCAGGTAACAATGGTTTACCTGAGGTAAGGTCTTAACAATGGGCCAAGTCAGATAAATTTAATAATATTTACAACCGCACTAATTGAAGTCAACCATTTTCTGCTAAACAAACTTTAATCTAAAACATGTGGTATGATTACTTACTTGAGGATTTGCAAAAAAGCCACTTACAAAACGACATTAACATATTTAAATTACGATGATATTAATCCTTAAGGTACGTTTTTACTGGAGCGTCTTTTGCGATTATCGTTGAGCAATGATCGCTAAGCGATGATTGTAAGCGGAGTGTTTTTAGAGGTAGTGCAAACACTCCTGACCACGGTGCAGTAGACGAAATTTGCTTCACAATAGAACCTTTCTGCCTTTACGGGAGTTTTGACTTCGCCTTCGCGCAGCTCCATGGTCAGGAGTGTTTCCACTATCTTTACTTGCACTGCAAGATACAAGACGCATAGAGAAACAGCATAATGACAAAAATGTTCAAGAAAGGGGATAAAGGAGACCAGAACAATTATAGAGGTATAAATCTACTGAACACCGCACTTAAGCTTACCACAAAAGTCCTAAACAACAAAATCAATAAAATAACAACTTTATCAGATGAACAACAAGGATTTGTACTAAAACAAATCACAGAAAAGATCATCGAGTACAATAAACCAGCATATCTATGTTTTATAAACCTGACAAAGGCTTTCGATCGCATCCAAGTCGAGTTCTTACACCTACTGTATAAAATAAACATACCAATCAATATTTAACAAACCGTCGAAAACATCTACCTCCATAATCGAATACAGGCAAAGATAAATGGAAAACTAACACAGTGTCTACCAGTACAAAGCGGAGTCAGACAGGGTGACTCGTTAAGCCCACTTCTCTTTGATATAATAACGGACGAAATAATACAAGCAATACGTAAAGTTCATGGCTACAGAATGGGGAACAAAGAAATAAAAATAATATGTTATGCAGACGACGCCTCATTAATCGCCGAGAGAGAATCTGAGCTCCAAAAATTAACACATATCTTCAATACAACAGCTAAGAAATACAACATGATAATATCAGCAGAAAAAACCAAATGTATGGCAACATCTAAATACCCACTATGGTGTAAAATCGGAATTGATCGGAAAATAATAAGGCAGGAAGCAAGGTTTAGATATCTGGGTATAGATATAACTAGTGACACAATCTGGAAGAACAAACACCAAAGCCAGACACAAAAGCAAGAATCTATAAAGCAGCAATTAGACTTATATTAACGTACACGGCGGAGACAAGACCTGACACATCTAAAACGAGACGACTACTAGAAACAACAGAGATTAAAATATTCCGACGAATATCAGGGAAAAGTCTGTTAGGTTAGGTTCTAGGAAGAGAAGCGAAAACATAAGAAGAGCATGCATTATAGAAGACATAAATAGATGGGTGACAAAACTAAAACAAGAGTGGAACGAACACATCAGTAAAATGACAGAGGATAAAATAGTACGTATAGCACGAGATAAGTCACCAAATGGACGAATAAGTATTGGCAGACCAAGAAAAAGATGGCGCGAGAATTTAAGCAATTTATAAGGCTAATATTGAAGACGAAACAGGCTTTAAAGCCTACATACAAGAAGGAAGAAGAAGAAATTTGTTTTACTGAAGCGACGATTCCATTAGTGAGTTGTCCGTTGGTTAGTGAACAAATGGTTTTGCTGAAACGATGCGCGGTATCCAAGAAAGAAATATATTATTGCTAAAATACCTGCTAGCAGCAGAAATAAAGGATGATGAAATGTTAAGTGTTTCAAGATTAGAAACATATGCTTAAAAGAAGACAAAAAAAGGATACTTCACAATTTTGATAAACAACCATTCATTAGTAGATAATGTTAAGTTTCCACAGTTCTTTTATTTGAATAAACTTCAGTTTGATTTTATGTTAAGTTTAGTAAAACAGGATATTAAAAAGTCGTCTACAAACTGTATTCCATATCCAGTGTTTGGGTAACAGTTTCGGCGCAAGGACAAGCCACTTATACAATCACTTAATAAAATAAGATGGGACAGTATGAACAGACTATTAATAATTACTGATGGTATGTATTCACTATCACTGCTACTGATGTATTCACGTAATTGTACGATATTTCGTATAGCACAAACAAAGTCACGTAGCCAGATGATCGCCAACGTTCGGACGGACAGGCACCTAAGAAAAAATTGTACGATATGATGGCCCGGCTATTTCTTTAATGTTTAAATTTTTTCATGTTTCATTTTATAATTTCCGATAAGTAAGACTCTTTTATCCAAGGTGTCATTTTAATTATGTAATGCCAATTCCATTTTGGTACTTCCAATTTGGTACTTTAAAATATTCACCGTATTCATTAGCGGCACCATTCCTCTACTCAAGCCCCAACGTTCTCTAATCTGTTTTGCCATTCTTTCTGAAATGTTATTTTCGATGATGATTGAGAAACTATTATGAAAAATAATGTATATAAACTTATGCATCAAAAAGGAACTCGGAATAATGAGCAAAAAAGAAGGTATGAAGGGAGGAAAAAAACATAGAAGAACACACATCATAGAAGAACTTCTACTATTAAATGGACTAAAAACTTCTATGGGATCTTAAATAACACAAGAAATTATTGAAAAAGTGACTAACGTACATATTTTTCCACTACAATTATAATGGTCTATATCTGGATGATATTTGTGATTCTAAAAATTTCTTTCGTTCCTCAAATAAAGAATTCTCGTAGTGATCGTGTTATACCATCTCTGTAAATTATGCAGTCAGGAAATACTTCTTCTTGGTCTTCTTCTACCATTTATCTTCCGCTGGAAATCAAAGAAAGGTAAAAGTATGCAGCTCAGTAGCACAAGGTGAGCATATCCGTACAAAATCCTCTATAAAAATTAGAATTGCATATTTCGTCGCTTCCAAGATCCAAGATCTTGACATGTCAGTACAGTTCCTTGTACTCTATGTTTTGACGAGACAAATGAAAAGAAGACGAATTGACATATGAATCTGTCCTCATCTACCCACCTGTCTCACCATGGCGATAAGATGCACAGGTTTTATTCCAGTTCAGTCTAAGAAAATTTTGAAGACCGTGGAGAAAAGCGTCATTCTTTGATCTTTTGAAGGTAGCCCTTTGATATCTTGTCTTGATTATCTTCTTTTTATTTGTCTATCAAAACTTTCAACGTAATCCTCAAACGTCATATGTCAGCCCTCATACGTCATCTATCGAACTTCAACTGTCATAGTCGTGTCACTTAGCCTCAGGGATTCGAGTTTAAACTACTATAGGTCCCTTATATCTGTGTACATTTAATCATAGACAGCACAGATATATGCAGTGTTGCCTACGCTTAAATTTGGGTATGGCACATTAAGAAAAAAGAGAATAAATTAAAGAAAGCCGTAATCTATATACAAGTAGTTCGTAATTAACGTTAACTATCTTCTAGTGATGTTGGCGATCACATGGACCATCTTATTCTATTCACAGCACTCGAAATAGATAGTTGAGGTAGCCCAGTCCATTTCTAGATTGGCCAGTCAGGATATACGTCTGCGTCCAGGGCCTCTCTTGCCCTCAATCTTGCCTTGTAGAATCAACTGTAAAAGTCTGTATTTATTATTACGCAAAATATAATAAGCCAACGAAGTGACGAAGTAAAACCAATTTTCTGTTCTTTAGGTGTTAATAATTTCTTTGCCTTTTCTTAGTCTCTGCAGAATAGTTCTGTTAGTTGTGCGATGTACATAGAACGTTAACTATAGGTCCTAAT